CCTTTTAGGGCATCTGTGTGGTTATGCTAAGATTGGAGGTACTAATATTAAGAGTCATTAATTAAAGTACTTTTACCTTTTGCAAAGACTTTGGAGCTGTATCACAGGTGGGAAAAATCTCATTAATTACTGAACTTGGAAATTGTCATGGTTTTACAGTTTTTAGATTGGGATTAAAAGTGAAGGACTCTCTAATATTCTTGATGGTCACTATTCCTTACAATTTGTAGACAGATGGCACCCCATTTCAGATAGCTTTCTTCCTATTTGAAAGCCTACTTCACATCTAAAACTTTTCCAAAATGGGGTTCATTCATTTCTTCTTGATTATTTCTTCCTGAATCTCTGTACCTCATCTTTTTATAGCTCTCCTTCAGGAAACATATAATACCTAGTTGAAGCTCAAGAAAAGCAGTTTAAATGGGAAGTAGTTTTATAGAATTGTCATTCATTCAAGTAATTGCTGTTTCCTATTCTGAAGCTCCTTTCCCAGGGAGAGCAAAGCTTTATACTTTGATCACCAAAGCAGTCTAGTCTGCTTTGTGCTTTTGTTATTGTAGTTTCTTCCAGCCCCCACCAGCATTTATTTTACAACCTGTAACACTACATATTAGAGATACTGCTTAATGGTTTTTTGTTTGTTTTACTGCCCTAGGACTCTGTGTGTTTTCAAGGAAGAAAGTTATTTCAGATTTAATGACTTTTATGTTAGGTTCACTTCTGCATTTGTTGCTTGCTGTCTTTAGGAAGAGAAAGCCAATTTCATTAGGGCAAATGTAGGCTGATTATACTTGTTTGGATGGATATTCTTACAAAAGCTTAGCACTTTACTTAGTAGTATGGTGTTTCCTGAGATTCCTGGGTACTGGCAGTTACAGTTTCATGATCTCTTATCTTCAGTTCTATAATCTATAAGGCTCTGAAAATCAAAATATTTCTCTTATTTGGTGGCTTGACCTGATCTGAGCTGACATGAAGCTATTTGCTGCTTTACTTATTCCAGTTAGTGTGAATTTTCCATGTATTTCACTGTAGAAATATTGTTTGATTAGTAGACCCTGTTGAGAGTGTTAATCTAATACTATATTATATACACCATCTTAAACTCCAGAAAACTCAAGTTTTGAAATCTGGCCCATAGAGTTTCTTATGAGGAGTTGTAGATTTGTATTACTATTCTTGGTGAACTTGTTGATTTTATTTTTTATGTATACTGTGAGTGTGGAAATAGGAGAGTAGCCAGTATAGTGACAGGGACTGGGTTTTGGGACCAGATAGATTTGCCATAATAACCTCTTTCAGTTTCATTTTTATCCTCTGTAAAATGAACTCGGTGATAACCTCTCTGAGTTGGTCGTAGTGATTAAATAACAATTCTTTTTTTTTTTTAAAGATTTTATTTATCTATCTGACAAAGAGAGACACAGCAAGAGAGGGAACACAAGCAGGGGGAGTGGGAGAGGGAGAAGCAGGCTTCCCGCGGAGCAGGGAGCCCGATGTGGGGCTGGATCCCAGGACCCTGGGATCATGACCTGAGCCGAAGGCAGACGCTTAACGACTGAGCCACCCAGGCGCCCTTAAATAACAATTCTTGATCAAAATTCTAAGATGTGGGAACAACCTAAGTGTTCATCAATAGATGAATGGATAAAGATGTGGCATATGTGCATGTGGCCACGCACGCACACACACAGGAATATTACTGAGTAATAAAAAAAAATTCGCCGTTTGTGACAGTACGGAGGGACCTAAAGGTTGTTATGCCAAGTGAAATAAGACAGACAAAGCACCATATGATTTCACTTATATGTGGAATCTAAAAACGAAGAAACAAAAAAAAATAGACACAGATTCGTAAATACAGAGAACACACTGGTCTTTGGTTGCTAAAAGGGAGGGGCGAGCAAAATGGGTGAAGGGGATTAAGAGGTACAAACTTCCAGTAATAAATATGTCACAAGGCTATAAGGTACAGCATAGGGAATATAGTCATTAATATTGTAATAACTTTGTATGGTGACAGATGGTACCTGCACTTACAGTGAGCATTTCATAATGTATATAATTGTTAAATCACTATGTCATACACCTGAAACTAATGTAAATTGTATTAGCTATATTTCTATTAAAAATTAATTTCCTCATTCCTTTGTGTAGTCTTATCCTGACAGGGACTTTTTAAACTAAAACTAAATATATGTTATTTATATAACTGAGCGGGGTAGCTATGCTTTTATCCTACCTGTTTTGCAAAATGGTAATCATTGCTTTCTTTCTGCTGTCCTTGGCCCCGTAGGGGAGCATGTAACGTCAAGGTTTAAAAACGAAGTGGAGCGGATGGGTTTTGATATGAACAATGCTTGGAGGATTTCCAACATCAATGAGAAGTACAAGTAAGTTGTATGGGTGCCTGTGGACTGTGTTTCACAGCCAGTACCTTTGCAAAAACCCCAGTTCTCATGTGGTAGGACATTTGAACTTAGACATATTTTTTTTAATGGAATTTTACTTATTAAATCTAACTGCATGGTCTTCAGGGTACTTCGTGAGTCTTCTGTTACCATTGCTGTCACTGGAGTGGTAAAATGATATGTTGTAGGATTCTGGAATCTTCCTTTCCATCCCCTCCAGACCTCTGTTCTTCCTGGTTCGTGCATTTCCTAGACAATATTGTGTTCTCGTGTAGGCAGGCAGTTTCCATTGGTCTCTTCACCACTTGATGTCACATTGGAGATAGAATCCGTGATCTCACAAGCAGTGATAAAACACATAGAAGCTAGTTTTTATGACTTCGTTTACTCCAGATTCTATGAAATAGGCGTACTATTCTGTTCTTTCTAACTTCATAGCTATGACCATTTAATCATTAAATATTAATGTAATCACTATTAAATATTTTCCATTTCTTGTTTCCTTAAAAGGTGTAAGTACTTTGGTGTGTGTGTGGGGGGCAGTTAACTACTATGATTTTGGTGGTCCAAATTTCTATAAAACAAAAGAAAATTGTTCAGGAGATTTAGATTAATATTTTTCTCCTCTTAAGATCCCCTCTAGCAGTTGGAGGCATTAATCATTCTGGTTTTTTTTTGAACTGCCTCAAATTACGATAGCCATTTTCCTGGTCTATTTGTGGGGTAGCCATCAGAGCATTTCATTTTTCATTGGAAAAACTATAGCTAATTACTGTATGCAGCTCTTAACATGGACATTGGCCGAGGAATTAAGAACCTGGGGTGTTGTGAAGAAATAGGAGCTACAGACCTCTCATACCTTGTCTTTTCTCAGTCACAAGCCAAAGCAGAGAAGGGAGTTGGAGGCTGGAGGCGAGGCATCAGAGAGCCTGAGACTGCCAGAGGCCCTGCTCATATATAGCCCTCCTTTCCTATGCTAGAAACTGCTTATCTACATGTAAGCAGCTAGTATTTGCTAAAAAGGTGACTACTAGATAGTGTAATACTTACAGGACAAGGAATATTGGGTGAAGTCAGAAAACCGAATTAAGCTAAACTTGTTGAAAAAAAAAAGTTCAAAAGCCATTTGGTTTTCAAAATCGCTATTCAATATGGGTTTTAAAAATTAATTTTTGTCTTTGAGTCCACTATTTCTACCTCAAAACCAGTCTTCAGGACATTGAAAAGTTCTTCCTACTACAAAGAAGAAGAGCTAAATTTACTATTAAGTTTTAAACAAGATAAAAGAAGACAAAAGAACAGGACTTGTGGTTAGCATATTAACTATGCTCACAGTGTCCCAGGTCATTTTTAGGAGTTTGTGGGTGTTAAGTTTATAGAGCTACTCTTGGTCGTAGATATTCTCTTGGTCCAGTGGCTTTTAAGTTCCTGATACTTAATCTTCTAGAAATTGAGAACACGATGGAGATATTTAGTGCAGAATGATCAAAACCCCTAATTCCTAAGCTACTTGGTGTTTTCTGCCTCTTCCCCCAATGCATGAGGTAGGCTAGGGCCAGGCGGTGGTGGTGCAGGAGAGGGAGGAATTTGTGTATTTTAAGATTTGGATTAAAGGTCTTCTTGCCTTCACTGTTTTTTTTTTTTTTTTTTTGTCTTCACTGTTGAAAAGGAATATTGGGATACCCATAGAGAGACTGTCCTATAAGTGAAAAACCTGTCAGAAAGAACTGCTTTTTAGGGCACCAGCTTGACTAGCATGCAGTTACTGGCTGCCTCCCTAATGAAAACAGCTTTTTTCCTCCTTGAATATAATTCTGAAGTGTGTTTTATAGAAATTATGATTAATAGCTTATTCACATTACTATCTTGGGTCAGTGGGCCTGTGATTATATATGCAAATGTCCTGACTTATGGTACTGCTTCTGCATACCCATGCCTGCGCCTGTTACCTATAATTAGGCCACATCAAAGAATATGTTAGTAATTCTATAAGGTCTTTGGAAACTTGAAATTGTGGGCTTTTGTCCTCCTTCACATGTTTCCCTTTGACAGAAGCCTGAAAGAGTGAGGGAGTCTGATTGAGGTGACAAGACTTTCACTTCTGTAGTTGGACTGTGCACTTTGTGTAGTTAAGAAATTACTTGTATGTTAGTTGCTTCACGGTAACTTCCTATTGTAACAAAGTAACTGCCTGTGGACTCCCCTTATATCACAGATGTTAAGATCAACAAATTTCCAAAGGCAGCCTAAAGTGGAACAGTCCAAGATAGTGTCACGTGACATATGCATAAGTAAACACCTAAGGCAACTAGTTCTGCTGAGTAGGCCAAGACTCAGCTAAAGCTCCTTATTGCCTTTTAACTGGTTCTGGGGTAGCTTGATCAACATCCTTATGCTGGCTCACCTAGTGTCTCTCCCTCTTCTCCCTCCGTGTCTCCCTGTCTTCTTCCCCCACTCCCCCTTTCTCACCTTCCCTGTTAGGCTGTGTGGTAGCTATCCACAGGAGCTCATAGTGCCTGCTTGGATCACCGACAAAGAACTAGAGAGTGTGGCAAGCTTCAGATCCTGGAAGCGCATCCCTGCTGTCGTCTACAGGTGAGTAAGCCTGGCCAGCCCGAGCCCGGTCTGGTGCTGCTATCCACTGCATGGGGTCTGCTGCTCTGCTGCCGCTAACCTGGGGAGGAAGGGAAGGGTTCAGAGACCTTCCCAGGCAACTGTGTGCTTCCTTTTATAGTTAAATTCACTCTTCCGGTGACATACCAGTACTTACCGCATCCAGAACACTTGGTGATGGTTCAAGTGATAAGAAAAATTTAATAGGAAAGTGGCTCATCTTGTATTTTAAGATCCTTCTGACATTCTATGGGAAGATCATGTGTTACTGCATTTAGCTTCCGATGTTGGCCTTTGGATTGAGAGAGAGGAGTTCCAGAAAGTGAGAGTTGAGTCATCTGTGATTGTTTTTGTAGTTGAAACTTTGAGACATGAGAGAGTTCTGTTTTGAGAGGAAGCATTTAAAGAAGAAGGCTAGGGCTTGGCTAGATAGATCTTAAAGATCAAAGGCATGAGAGCCAAGGGAGTCAAGTTCTAGAACGGGATGGTGGCGTGATGTTGAGCACAGGTTTGGGAGTTCAGGTCTTTTCACTGATACTCTTGCTAAGGCACCTTGAGTAAATTCCCTAACTGACCTCAGCCTGTTCCTAATTAGTAAAATGGGAATGATGGTCTTACTTTACAGGTATGCTGTGCCACTGAATGAATCTGTAAATATTGGGCTTCCCTAAGCAGTACATGGAGTAGGTTGTATTCCTGGGGGCTGCTTTTATATATAATTCATTGAATAGCTCAGTTCTCAAGGACTCATGTTAAGACTTGAAGAAGTCATTCCCTCTTATTTTAAAACTGTTTCAGATGTCATCTCTTTATGATATTTACATTGTCCATTTCACTTTTCCAGTTTGCAGACTTTTTGGGCTTTCCTTGAATTTGGGCCCAACCAGTGGGGCTTAGAGACTTTAATGCCAGGAAGCATTCCATTGAAATATTGAGGTCATAGGAAGGGATTTATCTCCTTGTGGAATTTCCACTGAGGTAACCAGCTTGTTCATTTAGTCCACTGATGGCAAATTCTGATGGCCGTCCTGAATAGAGAGAGATGAAAAAGTATTTGTTTCTGGCCCAGTGGAATCCATTAAGTTTTCAATCTCAATTTTCATCACTGTTGTTTTCAGACACCCCTAGAAAAGTAGGTCACCAAATTTACCTATCACTCAAGTGACAAGGATGACACAGGAATTACAGAGCAGGGAAAGCTGAAAGGATTTGCGTCTTATCAGTGATCGGCCCAGCTCAAATAGGGGCAGCAGCCAGGGCTGCTCTGTGGCCAACAGCTGTGTTAGATCAGCAGCCCTGGCATTTGAAGGGTTTGCTGACTTTGAGCATCAGGGGGAAGGACTGTCGTTTTCAAAGTACAGGGCTTTAGGTGAATTCTCCTTGTTGGTAGAGAACTCTGTAAATGCAAGTTAAAGAAAAACTTCTTAGAATAAACAGGTGAAACCTTTTTTCCCTTCTAAAATTTATTCTAGAGAGCATGAGCCATGGGTTTTTTTTTCCCAGCCCTTTCTAGAGACCATAGTATATATATATAAATGAAATTTATTTCCAATTTCTCTGAGTAAATCTGCTCTCAAGTTCTTGGTATTAAAAAAAAAAAAAAAAAGTTCTTGGTATAGTCCACACAAAATCAGATAGACTTCTAGGAACTAGCCTCTGTTTTGGAACATGTGTCTTGTATCTCTGAGCCCCAGACTGGGTTGTTAAATTGTTGGGGAGCTTTGTAAGCCGTGTATAGAAGAATGTTTTGGGGATACTCTGCCACTCTCTGCTTTGGTGGCAAGATGATTCTGAATCCAGCATGAATTTAGTTGTCTGTAGACTGCAGTGTTGATTCCTGAAGTTGCTAGCAGCAGTTACTTGACAGCACCACGCTGAACCAGTGCCCGATTAGTGTTTTTTTCCCCACTGTGATGAGAGAATGTTTAATTGGGTTTATCACTGAAGACAGAGATTGCTCTAACACAGTAAGATGGTGCAAAGGGCATCCATCTGTAGTGCAATTCACAGCTCCCCTCTTTGTGTATTGAGTGGTTATTAGAAATTTCTAGTCCTTTAGTGAGCTTGCTTAATACTAACTTAGGGATAATTTAAATACTTATGTATTTCTATATGAAATTGAAGCATTCGGTGTTAAGTAGGGCATCTTAATTTTTATACTTTTTCCTGGTTCTGTTTGTTAATATGGTAGAAATGCTCTTTGGTGATTTATTGTATTGTTTTAGTTCTTGATCATGCAGTCGAAAGCATTTTGGAAGACTGCAGAAAACTGCTTATTCCAACAGCTCAGTTTGCAGTCTGGCTGTTAAAATGCATGACCCTTTAAACCCAAGATCCAAGCTGAAGAGTGCCATCTTCTGCTCCTCTTGGGCACTGCTGGGAGCATTGCAGAGAAAGAGGATGCTCAGGAAAGGCCCTGCCAGCCTCTTTTATGAAGGTTTGGCATTGGTCAGCTCTGTTGTTTCCCAGTGCCTATTATATATGCTAGTAGGCATTTTAGGAAATAGGTTTTATTTCCGTTGGGCTCCATTCAGCAGGTGAGCCAATTGAGCATATTGGCAAGTGCTTTCTGTTACTTGTCTCTCTGTTCTGAAGGATTTAAAAACTACAAGGAAACTGATGGTTCCAGTGGAATATGGTTCTTGCTGAATTTCATTGATTGCTGGTGAGCTTTAGGATTAGAAACAAAAATTGTTCTCACGTTGTTCCTTGAAGATGACAAATAGATTCAATAGTATGTTTTATTTGAATCTATCTTCTACATATGTGTTATATGTGTGTATGAATGTATCTATTTAGATTTTTAAAAAGATTTTATTAATTTGAGAGAGAACATGTGAGATGGTGGAAGAGCAGAGGGAGAGGGACAAGCAGACTCCGTGTTGAGCTCGGAGCCTGATGTAGGGCTCCATCTTAGGACCCCGAGATCATGACCTGAGCCAAAACCAAGAGTTGAACGCTTAACCGACTGAGTCACTCACCTGCCCCTGTACTTAGATTTTAATGGGAGGTAAGACATGGACACTTCCCCTCTGGGAGATAGAATTGGGGGGATATAAATTTTTTGCTTACTACTTACTCTGTTTCATAATGAACTGATTACTTTTAGAACTTTTTAAAAACTACTTCATGATTGTCACAGTTCACCCCTTTAAAGTGTACAGTTTGGTGATTTTTTTTTTTTTTAAAGATTTTATTTATTTGAGAGAGAGAGAATGAGAGAGAGCAAGCACATGAGAGGGGGGAGGGTCAGAGGGAGAAGCAGACTCCCTGCTGAGCAGGGAGCCCGATGCGGGACTCAATCCAGGGACTCCAGGATCATGACCTGAGCCGAAGGCAGTCGCTTAACCAACTGAGCCACCCAGGCGCCCCCCAGTTTGGTGATTTTTTAAAAATACATTTACAGAGTTGTACAACCATCACTACAATCAATTTTAGTACATTTTCACCATCTCGGAAAGAAACCCCAGACCCATTAGTAGTCAGTCCCTATCCCCTTCCCAATCCCCGTAGCCCCAGGTCACTAGTAATCTACTTTGTTTCTACAGATTTGCCTATTCTGGACACTTCTAATAAATGGAATCATACAATATGTGGCCTTTTGTGACTGGCTTCTTTCCCTTAGCATAACATACTCCAGGTTCACCCGTGTTGTAGCATTTATTGGAACTTTATACCTTTTGATTGCCAACTACTAGTTTTATAGCTTTTTAATTGCTAAAATTGCCTAATAAATTCCTAAGTAGGAAAAGACTGGATTTTATTTATTTATTTATTTATTTATTTATTTTAAAAGATTTTATTTATTTGACACAGAGAGCACAAGAGAGCACAAGCAGGGGGAGCTGCAGAGGGAGAGGGAGAAGCAGACTCCCTGCTGAGCAGGGAGCCTGATGTGGGGCTCGATCCCAGACCTGAGCCAAAGACAGATGCTTAACCAACTGAGCCACCCAGGCGCCCCAAGAGACTGGGTTTTAGTATCATTGTTATTATTTTTTTAAGATTTTATTCATTTATTTGACAGAGCGAGCGAGGGAACACAAGCAGGGGGAGTGGGAGAAGCAGGCTTCCCGCTGAGCAGGTAGCCCAATGCGGGGCTCAGTCCCAGGACCCCGGGATCACGACCCGAGCTGAAGGCAGACGCTTAACGACTGAGCCACCCAAGCGCCCCGGTTTTAGTATCATCTTAAAGTAGACTTTTGAGTAAGATTTCTGGTCTTAATTTAAAAAAAAAAAAAAAGGATCTATCAAAAAAAAATTAAAGGGGGCGCCTGGGTGGCTCAGATGGTTAAGCGTCTGCCTTTGGCTCAGGTCATGATCCCAGGGTCCTGGGATCGAGTCCCACATCGGGCTCCCTGCTCCTTGGGAGCCTGCTTCTCCCTCTGCTTCTCTCTCTCTCTGTCTCTCATGAATAAATAAATTTAAAAAAAATCTTTAAAAAAAAAGAATTAAAGGATCAGAGTATGGCTTATTGAGGTTTATGCTGTTCCTTCTAAGAGCTTAAGGAAAGGTAGCTGGTGCATTGAGCTATCTGCCTATAATAAGAGCAATTTGTGAGTCATGAAATCTCAGGAGATTTTGTAGAGTAGTCCACTGTGGGCCAGGTAAGTGTTTGAGTCCCAAAGGTGGGACCTTGTTTTGAAAAGAATCCCAAAGCCAACCATAAGTGTACAGTTGCTGCAGTAGGCCCTCAGAAGTTGTTGTGGAAACAAATTTTTCTGTGTCAGCATCTATTATGCCAGGGTATTCAGATGCAGTATTAAAAAGGAGAGATTAATGTTTCATTATTGAATAGCAGATTTAGTGTAGTATTTGTAGATTATTTTTTTACCCGATTTTTCAAAAGTAAATTTTAAAGATTCTCAAACATATACTTTATGAATATAAATTTTTTCTTTTCTTTTTTTTTTTAAGTATTTATTTATTTGAGAGAGAGAGAGAGTGAGATAGAGCCCAAGACGGGGTAGGGTCAGAGGGAGAAGCAGACTCCCTGCTGAGCAGGGAGCCCGATGTGGGACTCGATCCCGGGACTCCGGGATCATGACCTGAGCCAAAGGCAGTCGCTTAACCAACTGAGCCACCCAGGTGCCCTAAATTTGTTTTTTCTAAGAGCACACATTTATCATTTTGTTGGTAACTTTACAAAGATCTCTAAAATGATAAGATTTTTGAGAAAGATCCAGATAGGTTTTGTTGTTTATTCTTGTTGCTCTAGATGATTTCTGCCCTGAGAGGACTTGAAGCTAATCCATACTTACCTGTATTCAGGCTCTTCGTTAAGGCATTTAATATCCACTACCTTACTTTTGTGTGAGCACAGAGCATTGGAATGGGGCCACTGAGATGGAGACGATTGTTGTGTCTTGTTCCTTGCACAGGCACCAGAGTAATGGAGCCGTCATTGCCCGCTGTGGACAGCCGGAGGTCAGCTGGTGGGGCTGGCGAAATGCTGATGATGAGCACCTGGTGCAGTCAGTAGCCAAAGCTTGTGCCTCTGACTCCCGATCAAGTGGCAGCAAGCTGTCGACTAGGAACAGTTCTCGAGACTTTCCCAATGCGGGGGACCTTTCTGATGTGGAGTTTGGTAAGATGCTCCCTGGATCCAGTGGCAGCAATTTTTAGAGTATCTGTGAGAACTTTTTCTTGAATGGCCTTTTCCTTGTAAGACCTATGATTTGTTCCATAAGAGAGAGAGGGTGAAGCTTTAGTTGATGGGATTATTTGAGGAGTCATAGGTCTTGACAAAGAACCAGAAGACTGTTTCAGACTTGGCTTAAGAGGGCTAGTGTTGTTGGTTGTCTTTCTAGTCATTGTGACAAGAATGGGGTATATATATGATAGGGGACCTGGAATTTCTCTGGACCATGGCAGGAGACACCAGACTTCATTAAGAGACTATACATGTAGACATGAGATAAAGGAGATTGTAGGCAAAACAGAAGATAAAGAGAGAAGTCCTATGTATCAAGGGTTCTGTTAGGTGGGTTTCACTTAACTGAGGTTTTTGTTTGTTTGTTTCTTGGTATTG